GGGGGGCGTGCGGGCGGCGGAGGGAGGACTTGGCGCCGCGTAAACATCCCTGCGCCCGGCCCGCCGCCCCTCGCCCCGGCCGCGCGTCCCAGCCTGGGGTCCGGGCTTCCGGGACCCCCGAATCTCCTCCCGCGGGGGCCGCGGCCGCACACGCCGCGCGGCAGGGAAAGTTGTGTGGGGGGAGGCAGGATGTTATTCAGCGTAAACAAGTCGGAGGGCACATCAGGAAATTAGCAAACAATGACACTTGGGGAGCCGAGAGCCTTCTTTGGTATTCCACTCCTGTGGCTAGGTTTGGGGGTGGGGGAGAACTGCCTCTCCGTCAGGCCGTGCACACACGGATCCCGACCAATGGTTGTGGGTTTGCTTTTTTCCCCCAAACAGAAGCAAAAAAAAAAAAAAAAAAAAAAAAGGGTGGTGGTTCTTTTAAGAACCAGAAAGAAGCTCATTAGGTGTACGAGCCCAGATGAGAATTGTTGACCTCCGGCATCTTTTCTAGAGACGTTATTTGGGTTGGAAAGGTGTTTGGGAAGAGATTACTTATCGGTCAGAAAAGTATCCCTATTTAAAAAAAAAAAAAAAATTCCAGCGGGTTCCTGACGATTTAACAGGTGTACATCGCGGTCTTTGGGCTTGGGTCTATTTTATCAGGGGAGGGGAAAGTTGAATCGCCTTGTCTGTGTTCAGTTACTTGCCAGAGGCTTTATTTTCCTGATTGGACTTTGTCAGAGATGATGAGAACTTGAGATAAGAGCAGACATAAAAATATGTCTATTAAAATGCCTTGTGTCACCTTAAATGAGAGACAGGTGACTTTTCTTGTCCTAATGTCACAAGTCCTGTTATTGAGTTTAGAATCACCTTGTTGAACTATCTTCTTTGAGTCAACTTGAGGTCAAAACCAAACCACAGAACCTGTCCCCTTTTCTCTGTTGTTTTATCTAGCATTGGCATCAGAGTAGAAAGCAAGGCGATTGTTTCAACAACCTGGGGAAGTCACATGTGAGCTGATGAAAATTAGAGGGTGATTCCAAGTAATAGCGCTTTTCAAGCTAAGCTGAGCTAACTATGATGTAGATTCAATAAAGCCTGCTTTTGGCTAGCCTGAAAATGGTCTGATTATAGACATTTTGAAGATCTGCTCATATCTATTCCCCCTGATTTAGTGTGGATACTGTTTAACGAAAGAGGCCTGAGATCATTTTACGTATTCAAAGTATTTGGCTCTTCCCACTTTCTCTGTGTGGATTACTCAGTCATTTGTACTTAAAAAAAAAAAAAATCTCTCCATATGTGACTGGCCTGTTGGTCTATTGATTCATTCAGGAATGTATGCTGCTTTCTTATTTATGACGTCAGGAAACTTCCTATTTTATCTGAAAAGTGAGAGTAGTTTTGTAGACCTTGTCCTGTCAGGTCTCAAGCCACAAAAAAAGGAATGGCTGTTAAGAAGGAACCTCTATTTTCTCACCTAGATGGCCCTACTTTTTAGATAATAGACCATTGGCAAGCCCAGTAGCCTCGGTAGAGAAGAAGGAAGCTCCTAAAGTACTGTATTGTAAAGTTTGACTGACATAGCAAGTTTTTCTTTTTACGTTTTTTCCTCTCTTTAAATTACAGGTCTGAATCTTCTCTCTGCAGGTGCATTTTTAGCAAATAAACTATTGCATATTAAAGTGCAGTAGCTGAATGCAAAAGATTTTGTGAAAGATGAGAATCTCGCTTTCTTATCTAGATTATACTATATTTGAAATAACAAATCAGTATTTTTCGTGTGTGCTTTCCGGTAAGCTGCTTAAAGGCTGGGATTTTGCTGGGTAAACTGAGAAAACTGAGTGTCGGATTACCCTAAAGCATGCTCTTGATATACGGTACTCATGGAAATGAGTTGAGATAATTTTGGAATCAACCCCCTGGCCTATGATTGGGCAAGGTTTTTCTTTGCCTTATAAACATAGTTGTCATTTGAAAGCAAAGAGGCCTAGTAATTGGCATCTCTGGGCCAAATTTACTGTGAAAACCATGTGATCAGCAAAGCTGTTTTCTAAAGTCAAAGTAATATTTCAAGTCTGTGGACTTCTTCAGAGTAAGCAAAGTTTTAGAGATTATTAGTGACTATAAATTCAGTGATTAATTGAGTTCTTGGAAATTATTTTATAATTTAAAGTATAGATTCTACTCCTTATATATAAGGAGAGTTAGTTTTTATTTTTTTTTTTCATAACTTGCAGGTCATTAGAATTTTAATTTTTGGTTGTTTTCTCATCCCAGATTATCACCATGAGGTATATAAGATCTCAGAATTCAGCAACGATGTTAATGGGGAGGCTAAAGAAACACAACCCATTTATTTAGGTAGGTTCCTATGTCAATTAATTTCTCAGCGAAACAGTGTGGCCATTTGCAGTTAGGGGGAAGGGGAAAAAAAAAAAAAAAGATTGTGCCAGAACGGGAAATGTCTGCCATTGCTTAATGTATGACATTCTTTTCAAGACCTTTTATTTTACAGATTGCCAATATATCCCTTATTAACATTGCTAAAAGTTGTAATTTCAGACATAAATGTTTATTAGTGTCTACACACAGTGCTAATTATCACTCACTCCCAGAGCCAGATGCTGACTGTGCAGGTTTGTCGCTCTGTGCTCACCCCATTTACATTGCATATTCGCTGGCATGCTTCACTGGCAATAGTTTGTGTAATTGGGGTATTACATCTTTGACATCTGGATAACAGAAATTCAATTTCCAGGAAGCTGCTATTTGTTTGGTTTTGCTTCTGCCTTGGGTGGGATGGAGGATTAATATGCTGTCTTATTATAATGTCCCTTCACCTCTGTAGCCTGGTTGCTAATCCTGCCATGACAAAATTAAATTAAATCTATAGTCAAAAAGTGTAAGGAAAATCAAAGTGTGATTGTCCACCTAACCACCTCTTGAGAGTCCTACCTATCATTTTCCGGGACCTGTGTGCATTTCACCCTGATACCTGTGGTCAGGGTGACTAGCCATACTTTTTGCTATTACCATCCTCATTCCCAGCTCACCTTAGGGACAGGCCGAGCAAAAGTGGCGTCCGGGAGACCATCCGACAAGGGTAGCTGCGTGATGAATAAGTAGGTGGTCAGAAGCATTGCCAGTCTAAGTACAGCTTTTGGGACAAATGCCATACAGGAGAGAACTTGCATGTGCAGTTCATTATTTGCAGACCGTGAACCCAAAATGTAAACAACTTGTGATTTTGCTACTAAGAGTGGAGTACCTAGAGAGGAGGAGAAGTAGGATTAGAGAGTAAACAGTGGCATGTGGCTTCCACCTTGCCCATCCTGAGCATCCCCACCATCCTTGGTAGTGATGTAAGAGCTGGGTGCTGCATGGCAAGGGAGCATAAAGTGGGAGACAGTTGGGGCAAGAGTGATGAAAAGCAAGGGTCAGCTTTGCCAGCTCTCTGGGGAGTATCGAGGGCTGAAGGATGTAGGATTGGTGCAGATCCCAACAACATGAAAGCCACATGGTGGAGTCCTCAGCCACCAGGATCTCTCTTTCTGGCTTTGAGAGAGAGAAACGGTGGGATGCGGTGGACTGAGAAATCAAAACGGATACTTGAGCGAGGTAAAATAGGAGGGAAGTATCAGCAAACAAACTTAGTGGTCATAAGTGACCACTGAAAGCACGTAGATCTCTGTACTCAAGCAGAGACTGTCACTGAGGCCGGCAGCTGTGCTCAGCACCTGTTTACGGTTAAGAGAACTAAAAACCAAAAAGCGAATAGTCAAGTGAAATGCTACGACCCAGAAGGAGAATATTCTTGGTTGGCACTCTCCTCAGTTCCTTAAACTTAATCAGTTGGAATTTTGTATTTTCAGTTCCCTAAGCTTGATTGGTTGGAATTCTGTATCTAAGTACTACTCGATGTAGTCATCGGAAATGAGGAATTTGCCCATTAGTAGAAAATTTACATTTATCATAAAAACGGAACATCGTGTCCTTGGTTGAGTTATTCTTCAACAAAGCAGGCTTTTTCCCCCGTCCTGCTGTGTGTTTGGAAAACAGTAAGGATGCTATACAGTGAGGTAATTCTGGGTATGACAGAGTAGGGGGCTGAACAACAGGAAGATGCTGGTTCTCAGAATTCAGGAAAATGCAAACTCTTGAAAGGGGCACACGTTGCTGCTTTCATTTTTCCCAGCTCGAGTCCAGGAAGATAAGAGAACATCAGCGAAAGACCAGGGTCAAGATAAGCTTTGCAAGTTACTGGTCAAGAAGGCCTCAGCCATGAAGAGACCAAAGATTGAACAGTGCAGACGTGTGCCTGGCTTACTTCTCAGTCTTGCTCATTCTGGGGGACGTGAGATGTGGTTCCCAAAGAATATTTGTATTTGGTGATTTCCAGTCATTTTTTTTAAAAACTAGAGAATTAAGTGGTTACGCTAACATCATTTCTAGAGCAACTGGGAATAGTTACTGAAAACATAGGAAATTAAGATTTTGGTTGTCTCTGATGTTCTGAAACAGGCATTTTTTAGTTTAAAGGTTCTTGTTTCAAAACATAGATTTAAAGCATGCTTGTTTTATAAATTGCTTGAGTCTATCCGTGATGTTACTTGCTAGGGTGAAGAACTCAGTGTGAGGTTTATGACATCTGAGGGAGTTTGTTAGCCAAACCCAGAAGAACGGTTTCAAATACAATCTAGTCCTAATACACGGCCCCTAGGATGTTGTATAGGATTTTCTGTGTTCAGACCTATGTCGTATTTTTAATACTATTCGCACCTATAAGATTAAAGTTCACATCTCAGGAAAAGAGAGTGAGTGCTCGAGGTTTTGGCAGTGTTCCCACATGAAATTTATTTCTCTGGAATATTTTTAGGCTGTTGACTAATGCAGCACATCCAGCATGGTAGGATAGCTCAGTAGTGTGAATGGCTTGGCTGAGTGCTTTCAGAGTTACCCACACATTTTTAGTGTGATAATAGGGCCAGAGGAGGTTACTTTGCCCTGTGGACATTGACATTGTCAGGTTGGCTGTGATGGGCGACCATAAAAATTTGAGTCCTGTTTGGAGAAAAACAACTATCTGTTTTAATCAACTCAACAGATTTATTTTATTTTTATTATTTATTTATTTATTTATTTACTTATTTATTTTGAGAAAAGACTATGCGCTCAGTGCTTTTCTGGGATGAGAGTGGGATTGGGGGTAACCAAAGAAATGGAAAGGACAGAGACCTTGTTCTCAAAGATGAAATCCAGTTGAGGAGATGGGGCACATTCAGAACACAGTTAAGGAGCGATGTTCAGTGACTGTAACAGCTCCCGTCGCTGGGCACTTTCTGTGCACATGGTGTTGACCTGAGTCCCTCACGTGAATTATGTTCATTTACCTCTCATGGCAAACCTGTAAGTCATTATCCTCCCCATTTTGTACATGAGACTTAGATGTTTAGTGGCCTGCCAGAGGCCACTCAAGTAGCAAGTGCTACAGCTGGGAGCCCAGTGCATCCGCCCATGCTGGAAACACCCCACTGCATGCCTCTCAGTGTGAACGGTAATTAACCAACAAATACAGACCATCAGGGCAGTGAGCCATAGCAGCATGGGAAGGGAAGGATCAAATGGAGGGTCAAGTGGGGAGTCTCCCTCAAACTTGGAGACAATTTGCATAGACAGAGGGGAGCTGGAGAAGGTTCCAGGTGCAAAGGGTGCTGTAAGCTACAGCAGAGAAGTGTCATCAGGATCGGACATTAAGTGAGCGCCGTCCATTTAAGAACTGCTTTCACCACTGTCATCCTGTGGTTTTTACTTCCTGTAAGGTCACTGGGACAGGTGTTCTTATTCCCATTACTTAGAGGACAGACCTGAGGCTCAGAGTAAAGCAACTTGCTCAGAAATAGCAGAACCTGGAGCGGACCCATGGCTCCTGTCCAGAGACCTTTCCTCTCTACCATGCTGGGCCAGACAATTCAAGGATCATTAGGAGAACTTACCGGAGAGAACAAGGCACTTTTGGAAAGTATTTTAGTGAGATAGCGAGTTTATTACTCATAACAATAATACAAACTTTTGATAAAATCTCTTTTGAGATGTTGGGCTTTGTTTTAGGTTTACTGTCATAAGATATAAATTTGGAACATGTCTGTTTCTCACGTGTTCGGTCTCATTCATTTATTCATTCGACAAATATTTCTTGAGCTCCAATTACATGCCAGGCCCTGGCCCTGTCCTCGTTCCTTTCAGTACTCGGTTCGGTTACACAGCTTTCAGAAGACAAAGAAAGCACATGTTGTAGCCATGCCAGTTGAGCAAGGTCGAGATATTGGAATTTTGAAATCTTTTTCCGTGGCTTTGCTGATGACAGCCACCCCCACCAGGGTCCCAGAGTCCTCTCAAAGATGACACACTCAAATAATCCCTACCCACTTTTCCAGGCTAGGGCGCCAGCCTCTCATGACAACGTAAGTCTCCTTCCCGGAGACATAGACTTGTGTGTGTGTTAAATGGGGGTGCTCTTCACCTAGAGTCCGGCAGCCTGGGTCCCGCTTGCTTCCCATTTCTTCCCCAGAGGGAAAGGGCCCTGATGTGTTACCTCACCTGTGGCTGGAGTTCCATGAGTGAGAAACAACCTCAAATACCATGGAGGTCCGTCCAAGTGGGCCTGAGCATTTCCTGGGGTTGGAAACACAGCCAGTAACTGTAGGGGTCATTTTGGAAGAGCTGGCTGTGTGCCAGGCACCATGGTAAGACCTTCGCGTGTTATCCCAGGTGACACATCCCACCCTTACCTCCCCACCTCTGCGGGCGTCTGCACGGCTTTTAGGGCACCCCCGTCACCATGGAAAAACCTCTCAGAGTGGTTTCTAAGGTTTCCTATAGCAGTAACAGTAGACCTGCTCATCCTCTAGGTCCACAAATGGCTTCCCGAACAATTGCAAGCAAAGTCAAGGTTGAGAGAGCCTCTTGAGACTCTTGAACACTGATGGCTTCCTTGAGTAGAAGCGCGTGTGTAAATGTGCTTCTGTTACCTATAGACGCAGACAGAGACGCTCTTAGATATTACTCATGGCCTCAAGTTCGGGTAGAGTTTGCAGTTAGGCCTGACGCATACCGGGGTTAATCATTTAGCTAACATCACAACTGCGCATGAGGCGGGTGTTATACCGGCTATACAGACAGGAAGCGGAGCTCGGAGGTGAAAGTGATTTGCACCAGGGCACACGGAAATTAGTAGTTGAGCATGCTTTAGACTCTGGTGTCTTGACGCCCATTCCTGCCCTCTTTCACCATGGCAGTTCTGCCAGCTGTCCTGCCTGCCCTTCTGCACGCATGGACTGAGTTGGGTGTGTAACGTCTCATCC